CTGTTGGAGTTCCTGACATGACAACGAAGCTCTTCCGAGTTCCATGGGATTATAACATTTTCCACTGAGGTGAAGGTGTGTCGAACAGAGCCTCGCCACTACTTCTGACGGGCAACAGCCATTCTAAGGAGACGCTGGACCGGTAGCGTTAACGGAACACCATATCTGCTGATTATCATCAGAGAGGTAATGGGTCAAGTTTCCTACCAAGCGTACCGAGGCGAGCTGGGCTTCTGATGGAGAGTGTCGGTTCTGGAAAACACTTAATTTCCCTCACACACCATCCTTTACTCCCCCTAAACTTCTTTCCATCTTTAAACTTTCCTATGAAGTAGAAATTCTCCCAGATATTTAGAAATGTCTGTGTAAAGTGCTTATTCACATCCGTGTGGGTAAAAGTCATAGTTGTACAGTTTTATACATGTCTGTGGTGCAGCAACGGAAAAATCATGGCCGTATGATTTTTCCTGATTGATTGCTTTGTTGTTATTTTCATAATTTGCCAAATTAATGTACATGTTTGATGTTAAATTTGATTCTGTAAATAAATGACCGCATTCATTTTGATGGGTCAAATCTAAATGACGTCTCACGTTTGCATTTCCTTAAATTCAATGCACGTTTTATTCAGTCCAGAAAAATGAGGAACTCGCGTTAAATGATGAATACATCCCAGCATCTGTTCATCTACAGATACATATAAAATGAAAGGCAGCAGAAGAAGAACAAATTCTTATCATTTCTGCCACTTCTAAACAATATCAATTCAAAACAATCTATTCAAACAATACATAATACAACCAACCATAAAACTTATCACAATTCATTATAATTCCATACCATTATCCAACTTAAATATATTTCATCATCAATACATTCTTAATCTTTTTTTAAATACAACTAATGAATTCTCCTTTTTGATATCATTATCCATACCATTCCATAAACTAATTCCCTTGATCGAAGTAGACCTACCCTTAAAACTTGTTCTATATTTCATCTTTACAAAAATATCTGTTCCCTTTAAATTATAACAACTATTCCTTTTAACGAAATACACTTTTATGTTTGATGGTAAATTTTGGTTCTGAGCCTTGTACATAAATAATAGAATATTGTAATCCACCAAATCATAAAACTTAAGAATTTTCAGTTGATAAAACAAAATACTTGAAGGATGGCGATAATGCTTTTTTGCGATAACTCTTATAACTCTTTTTTGTAAAATAAAAATAGACTTGGTTGCAGTTTTACAAGCTGTACCCCAGATAGCAACACAATAAATCAAATGTGGCACAACAATTGTATTGTACAATAGACACAACGCTTTATCAGTCAGAAATTCTCGTACTTTATGTAGCATTGCTATAGACCTGGAAATTTTAGTTCTTACAAAACTAATATGTTTTTTCCATGTCAATTTATCATCTATAATCACTCCCAGAATTAAAGTCAGAGTGGAAGACCAAATGGTGGAAGATGAGAAAAGAAGACTGTTGTGAGGAGTTCAGAGAGGAGCTGTTAAAAACTCTGGGTGGTAAAAAGCAGCTTGACGGGGTTACTGCAGCAACAGTGATAAGGGAGACAGGTAGGAACTTACATGGTGTGTCATCTGGACCGAGAAAAGATTAGAACTGAAGGACTGAAGGGAGTATACCAGACTTTAAGGAGATTCAACATAGGGCAAAGAGTGAGGTATCAAAGGTGAAACAGAAGGTGTCCGATGAGTTTTCCAAGAGGCTGGACACTAAGGAGGGAGAAAAAGACTTGTATCATCTGGCGAGACAGAGGGATCAGGCTGTGAAGGATACTTTCCTTCAATCTTTATTTAAACAGTTTAGTCTCATTGAACCTCAAGGACTCATTTACAAGCGAGACCTGTTTGCACCAGGTTATACTTGTTAAAGATAATATAGCTGTGATCTGTGATATGTCATTTGAGATGAGAACAGGGAACAGGTGGAAGAAAACTTGGGAGTAGTGGACAAAGAAGAGGAATGAAAATCAGCTGTAGCAGGACAGAGTATGCGTGTAAAAAGGTTGATTCAGGGAAAACAAAGAGGCTACAAAGAGCAGAAGTCAACTGTCCATGTATACCTTGTTGAATGGTAGAGGTGAAAAAGAGAGTCCAGACAGGATGAAGTGGATGAAGAAAAGTTTCATGAGTTATTTGTAATAAAAGTGTGGCAGTAAAGGTGAAAGGAAAAGCTTACAAGACAGTGGGGAGACCATGTTGTTTGATTTGGAGACAATGGCATTGACCTGAAGGCAGGAGAAAAAAATGGAATTGGCCGAAATGAAGATATTAAGGTTTTCTTGGAGTGACAAACATAAGGATGGAGAAGATTAGGAATGAGATGATCAGAGGTACAGCACAGGAAGATAAAGTTAGAGAGGCCAGACTGAGATGGTTTGGACACGTCCGGATGAGGGACAGTGGGTATATTGGTAGAAGGATATTAGAAACGCAGCTGCAGGAAAAAGACAAAGAGGGAGGCCAAAGAGGAGACATATGTACGTGGTTAGAGAGGACGTGGAGGTAGTGAGGACAGAGGATGCAGAGGACAGAGTGAGATGGAGGAGGACGACTTGAGGGAACAGATAAAATAAGTACTTTTTAAACTTCATTTTACTATATTGAGATATTTTAGAACAACACATTGTTTTTTTCATAACTGCCATTAGTTTCTAGTATTTTGTAGTTGAAGGAAAAAAATTCCCAAATGGCTCAAGAAAATTGGGTTTGATTCATTTGATTTAGTTGATTTGATAAATACAGTTTGTTAATATCGCAGCAGTTGTTCAATGTAATGTAAATGTGTATATCCCATCAAAAGATATCTCTAGTGTCAATGGACACCCGCTCGTTCTTACCTCCAGAGTCCGTACCAACAGGCAGACAACCTTGTAGGTGGTCTTGTCTTTGTCAGAGATGAGGTCCAGAACAGCAGTCCCACCTGTGTTTCATAAAGGCATTTTTTCCACCTCTCAGTTTTCTCACTCATTTTCAGTGATACAGTACACTTTGTAAACTGAATGAGGTTTCATCAATGCCTTGGCTGGATTTTGTTTTTGCTAGTTTGATGTCTGCTGTGTGTACTTTTTCAGAAAATTGGTAAAACGTTTTAATACCTCTAATAAAGTGATCTGAAAGGGGTTGTTGTAAAGTTACGCACAATGCTATAAACTGTGTTGCGCTGCTAAGACAACAGACTGGTTACACACATATAAAATACATTTTATGACTGTCCAAGACCCCGACTCTCTTATTCATTCTCCAACAAGTCTTTAAAAGGAGCAACGCACAAGTTTTTATTTGTGCTCATGTATTCTTTAGGTTATGTTTTGAATCATTCAACATTCTTCAAGTGCGACTGTCTTTAGGTCTGTATGAGTGTAACTTACTAAAATAAGTAAATTATTATCTGAAACACTTTCTGAAGGTTTTTCAAAGTTTTTCTTTTGACTTTGGCTGCTTTTTGACTTATTGTCTGTCCAGTACTTGACCATCAAAGCATATTGTGCAGTTCTATGCCTAAAAATGAAGCAAGTGTGCATGTGGAGGACAAAAGGACAACACGTGCACAGTTTATTAAAGTCAAGCATGGTGTAAAAAATGGAAAATACATCCAGGGTGACACGGGACTTAATGCTTCATTCTTCGGCTGATCATTGACTGTATATGTCAAGTGTTCCACTTACAGATCTTTTGAAAACTTATTGAAGCTAAAATACTTTTTAATCAGTCAAAATGTGTCTTCTTGGTTATTTTTCATATATTCAGTGAGTTCCAAACATATTGTGTTAGTCATTTTATTGTTTAATAAAGAAAATTAGCTTATCATCTGCAACAGTTTTTTTTTTTTTTTTTTTTCAGATCCAGTGTAAGTACAAGAGGTCCTTCCTACCCACAGCCATCAGCATCTAGAACAACTCTTTAATGAAACCAAGATGATGAGTTATATCTAATTTCTCTTTGGAATTATAAAGTATTCTTGAATTGAACTGAACTGATAATTTTAAAACAAATCACATATTTTGGAAGACAAAATATCACAAAAATATTTGCTCTGAAAACAAGACAATGTTTTTTGTTTTTTTTAATCACAGGACAATATTCCTTATAACACAGGCTACAATGTAGGAAAAGACAAAACAGCAAGTTACCTAACACAAATACCAAAAATCAGATGTGAACAATAAAATGAGAAGCCTAAAATACGGAAATAATTTTTTTCCACAGGAAAAAAAAAACCTCATGACTTCGCATCTCATTATTACGAGACACTAAATCAAAAGTATGACTTTGCATCGTATTTTTATAACTTGGCGTGTTAAAATTATGTCATAATTTCATAATTAAAAGATAGTGTCTTCTAGTTTTGTGATGCTAAGTCATAAATGAGACACTATCTCATAATTAGAAGTCAGAGGATTTTATTTTTTATTTTTTAGAGTGGAATAGGCTTCCATACATAAACTCCTAAAACACACACAACAAAAACATATATATATATATATGT